TAGCCAGCGCGACCGGGTTCCGACTATATACCCATTATACAGCCAAGGACATTAAGCAGTCATCGTGCGAGACAAACGATACCGGTGTTCAGCCGTGGCTCCCATGGCACGCTGCCGCGGACTGAGCTGCTCCAGACGCGAGGCGATAGAGGCCGGGCCTCTGGTTTGTGCCTCCCCGGGGTGCCATTTTTCGGCGCCGGACGCCAAGGGAGCATTTACTGCTGCAGATGTCCTGTGTTCAGCCGCCCAGTTAGCTGCCCTCGGCGCTCTGGAAACGTAGCTGGTGACGCATGATTCTCGACTCTGCTCCTGAGAAGTCGCTGACCGGACCAGAGCATTCAGAGATTGGAGCATTGTGTCATGCAAACTATGATATACTGATGGGATAAAAAAAAAACGTATCTAAGATTTGCTCTATCGAACGTAATTTTTTTACAAAAAGGTGATAATATTAGGAGTATCGTTATGCAAAACTCCCGCGGTCCTGCATCCGCCGGTCTAAAAATATCTACTGACTTCGAAGAGACTCGCAGAGTGCTGTCACCAACCGATCCCATCGTCCCGATCTCATCAGGCCCGCGTGCTCGGTCGACGCATCCGATTTGTGCCGATGCCGCCTGACGGCGGCGAACTATGGCGACTGTGGCGACTTTGGTGACCCTGCCAACCGGCGCGCCCAGCCGGCGCGGGCGGGCGGCGTGTGATCCCCATGGTTCCGGACCCGCCAGCGCATGATCACGCAATCTGCCGGCGACGCGCGGCCGAGATTTGACAGCGCCGCCGCTCTCCCGTCGTATCATTTCAGACGTGGGGAGAGCAATCGTGCCGCCCGTGTTCCGTGCTGCCATCTGTTGGGTGTCGTCCGAAACACGGCACAAGACCGGCCCGGGTCGGTCCGAGCTTCCTGAGAGTAACGAACGTCCTCACTTGCTGGCCGGGGATCACGGCGTCGTGCAGACCTGTACAGTTTCAGAAAGAGAGGAGCGATGGCCGGGATTCTCAGACGTGCCTTCTCCGCGCTGTGAACCCGTTTTTTTTCTCACAGCCGTGGATGTGTGGTGGCAAAATGCACGGCAGCAAGGAGGTCAAATATAAATTTGTTGGTGAGCTATATTGGCTTACCAAACCGTATTTTTAGCTTTTTTCTGATTAACGTTCGCCTGCTAACTTATCTGTATTTACTCGCTGACTGATCTTTATTCGCCTTGTGCGTCTGGAGAACATGGCGACATTCTTGCGGAGCTTCATAATGTTTGGTGGGCTGACGAAATTTCAGCCATTCAGACAGCGATGTTTTGGCTACCTTACTGTTTTAGCAGTTTCTTGCTTGATTTTGGCCTTATACTGTAGTGGCACACCTTATAAGTACCTTCAAAGAGGTTTTCAGTTCGATCCACGGGTAATTTTCTTCCAGAGGTGTTGGCGCCACAGCTCATTTGGGAGTGATGAGTGGGAGAGGATTATCGCGGTCGGCGGCGTCCGGGCGTCACTGACACGTTCAACTGCTCCGAACGTAGCCTGTTTGGTACCAAATGGCATAGAAGACGAATACTTCATGTTGACAAGGAACGCATTGCCGTGGCGTCATGGGAAACACTAACGCCCTGCCCGGTTGGTCGAGACTTTGTCGCCACTTATTACAATAGGAGAACTGGAAAATTACCAGAAGCAATAAGTGAACACCAAAATAGGAATGCAAGAATGGGAAATATTACTTGAACTTAACAGTGAATGCGCGGTTGAATGCTAGCGTGGTTGAGCTTTGCAGCCGTCTAAGCGCAGAGGGCTGGCGCGGGACGCGGCCGCTTGACACTAGCTGGACCTGGTGCAGAGGGCTGGCGCGGGACGCGGCCGCTTGACACTGGCTGGACCTGGTGCAGAGGGCTGGCGCGGGACGCGGCCGCTTGACACTAGCTGGACCTGGTGCAGAGGGCTGGCGCGGGACGCGGCCGCTTGACACTGGCTGGACCTGGTGCAGAGGGCTGGCGCGGGACGCGGCCGCTTGACACTAGCTGGACCTGGTGCAGAGGGCTGGCGCGGGACGCGGCCGCTTGACACTGGCTGGACCTGGTGCAGAGGGCTGGCGCGGGACGCGGCCGCTTGGCACTGGCTGGACCTGGTGCAGAGGGCTGGCGCAGGACGCGGCCGCTTGGCACTGGCTGGACCAGGTGCAGAGGGCTGGCGCAGGACGCGCCCGCTTGACACTGGCTGGACCTGGTGCAGAGGGCTGGCGCGGGACGCGGCCGCTTGGCACTGGCTGGGCTGGTCAGACGGGACTCACCGGTACACGGACATCACGCAGTGAGCTCAAGGCGGGTGCGGTATGAATACTGGAGGGAATGACCTTAGCCATTTAACTTGAACTCCGGTGATAAATCGTCCAGTCTTCCGGCAATGGTTGGCTTTTTGCTAACGACCATTCGTAATAATCAACCTCTTCCAGCCTGCCCGTGGAAGGGGCTGGAATAACTGTTATTATATTATGGCGAATGAGATCACAGAGCCGGTTAGCTATTAATGCATCGATGCGCTGCATTTCGAGCTGCTGCTGCTTATGGCTCCCAATAGAAGCAGCTCGAGGCGACCTGCACCTGGAATCACTGACGTTGCTAAAACGATTACTGTTGCTTCTAGGGAAGACAAAAGTTGAAAAGTCTGGAAGACTTCGCAGCTCAGATGGTTCTGTGCTCGACTTTGAATGCCTTAGAACTCTGTTGCCAACTTTGGCTTTCCAAACTTCGACGTTGAATTTCAAGAACAGCAACAAGACTGAACGCAAATTACTTTCATCATGCAAGCTGCAACCTAACTAATGGCTCATGTACGGTGATTTCACTACCAGCGATGACAGTTCGCTGCGGTCAGCGGCGCACCGGCGCTGCGTTTCCCTAACGTCCATGATAACAGTGAGCGTCTTGTGGCATGTGTGCGTTCCCAGTCAAGCGTGGTGCGCATCTATCTGGCAGTCGCTAGCTCCGAGCGTGGGAGCTGAATGTAAATATGGAACTGTGACTACTGTAATGCACTGTGTTATCACTCGTGCTCCTATAGGCTGCTGCGGGAAGAGCGCAATAAGTCACCTATTGCTGGTGAAGTAGCTCTTGCACCGACAGGCTGCCGCGTCAGCTGTGGCCTGACTTCGAGTCAGATACCTGTCTCTCCCCACCCCACCTGTCACTATTGCAGGTGCCTTTACCCTTTCAGCGATACGGTTCTGAGGGAACTGTGACATGACATGTCAGGTATCTGCTCACCCAGCCTATTACTTTCAGAATGAACATTGATCAACAGATGAATCAACCGTTGCAATTGTAAAGGCCCTTTACGCATGGTATTTCTTTATCCGAGGTTTAGCTAAAGGTCATCAAACAATGTTTGTGAAGTTTGTTTATTATCAACCCAAAAGTCGACTGTGAGTCTGCTGCTGGCGTTGGAGCTTGGTCAAGCAGTCGTCAAGTCAGTCACGTATCAAGGTCAACGTAGGTCAGTCACTTATGAACTTTCACGGTAAACGTCACATGCAGGTGAGGGAACCGCGCTATCAAGTGCAAACACGAATGAAAACAGACAAGTTGTGCTGATGGGGCACAAACATTACAATGTTCTAGCAGAAAGGTCGGTTGGTTGGAAATGGTGGATACCCATGGCGACTTTTCGGAGTAAATTTCAGTTACGGGTAAAAGGCGTCTCCGTCAAGGCTGACAATCTATACAAAAATGTATACGTTATGCAACTAATAGAGCACATCATTTTAACGAGCAAGTAAGGGTTAATATTGGTCTGTGGCCTGTAATAACGGCAGTGCATCCTGAAGGGCACGTAGTATCACGTTATGAAGAACAGTTAACGAGACAAAAGCGCAGTCGCGGTATGACACATTTCTACTGATTATCATATTGAATAACGTTTGGATCGAACATGGTCTGGCCACAACAGATGGTCGGCCATTGAGCTGGCAGGATCGAGGCCCCAAACCCTAGGCTACATCTGAAATTTAAGAGAGGTGATGTACTGAGTGTGACGCGGTACCACGTGTGACGTGTAGTGTGACGCGGTACCACGTGTGACGTGTAGTGTGACGCGGTACCACGTACCGTCCCTGGGGAAATATAAAAAAACGGTCACGGGACGGGTACCTCCCCTCCCCCGTCGGTGCGAGAGTTAAGGTACCAAATGTTATTATCAAACCCACTTTCATCTCCTTGAGCAATGTCTCGCATCCTTACAAAGTGCCCACGCCCGCATTCACGACAGGCACCCCGCCCGCACAACGTTGTTAGATGTTGGAGGGCATGTAGTGGCCTGTCAGGGCCCTCGGTGCCGTCGCGTGGCGTACTCAGGGCGTGGTGGCGACGGCTCCTCGCGTGGTATGACATGGAGTTTGCCGTTAAGGCAGAACGACTGCAGAACACCTCTCACCCTGGCTCTGTGGCTTGCCACTGGTCCTTGTGGGTCGGGGAAGCACTGACCGACCCCAGGAAAGACGGGCATTAGAAAACTGTCGCCGGAGATGGTCTTAAAGATTGTTAGGGTGGAAATTGTGGCCCTGTGGTCCTTAATGCGTATGTAATATGGGAATATATATATATATATATATATATATATATATATATATATATATATATGTATGCCTGCGTTATTGCATGCTCCCGCTGTGGTTTTGGCAATGTGTGAATGACCGGAGAGTATAAGCTCACGTTTGGCTCAAGTGGTTTACTAAGCATGTTTGAGTAAAATGTTTGAAACCGCTGGATTTTCTGCTCTTCACATGTCATATGTCACACCACTAACGCTCCGCAACGCCAAAAATGGGACTGCTGAATGGTGGTGTCGACAGCTGGCGAGTGTCTGGCGGCTGCCGCTGACACCACCGGCGTCCTTTCCGCAGGTGTCAGTCGACCCGGAGCGGCCCGAGCCGGCCCTGGCCGCCACCTTCCCGGCGCAGCGAGACGTCAGCAGCTGGGCGGACTGTTGCCGCAGCGCCGTCAGGTGCTGCCGACGAATGCGGCACGCCGCCGCCGACGCGCGTGAGTCCTCCCGTCTGCCCCTGCCTCCGTCGTGTTATGAAAACACGCGTGAGTCCTCCCGTCTGCCCCCGCCTCCGTCGTGTTATGGAAACACGCGTGAGTCCTCCCGCCTGCCCCCTGCCTCCGTCGTGTGATGGAAACACGCGGAGTCCTCCCGTCTGCCCCCTGCCTCCGTCGTGTGATGGAAACGCCTGGAGGCGGGGGATTTAGCAGTCAACGAACTCATTGGAGTCAGATAGTTTATTGCAGCCGGCAAATGCTATCCGGCTCGTGTCAAATGGGGAAGTAGAAACTCAAAGACACCGCCGTATATTCACACAATGACACATGCCTGCACACACCAAAACCCCCATACGTAACAATGACGGCAGTAACGACGGCAGCAATGACGGTGAATGTACGACCGGTTTGCTTCGCCGCAGCAGGGGTGAGGCTTCCACAACGGGGGCAGCCTGGCCGTGGAAGGCGTGCCGCCCACTGGGGAATAACAGGTACTAATCTATCTATCGTTAACATTATAACGGCCCTGAGCATCCAGTGACCAGTGCATAGTACCTTATAACCGTTTTGATTAGACAAGCTCAGTTTAGGGTTAGTTTTGACCCTTGAAATATGAAAAATGATGAGAACTAGAGCCATCAAAAGCCCAGGGTAGATGCGCCTCCATGCCAACTTATTTGTTACACTTTTGGGTCTCTAGATTGTGACCTTCTGATCAAACGATGTCCAAACACAACCCAGAGATAGGTGTCCAGCGCCTGGTACCAAGCAGGGCTAGCTGGCGCGGTGCTGTGGTGCGACTCTTTGTTGATACCAAATGCCTACTAGCTTTTGAATAGAACGGACATATACCAACTCGATAACCTGAATGTGTCAAATCTCTAACTCTTAAACACGCGGTCGGGTGGGGTGGGATTTAATTTGCCCTCAAACCCGCAGGTTTTTACAGAATAAGCTCTGAACAGAGCGGTGTCGTCGCGCCAAATTTATCATAGCTGCGGGCAAATGAATAGCGATATTTAGTTATTTATTTGCACCTTGCGAGGTCGATAACTTATGGCGGGTCAAAGTCAGGCCGTGGCTGTCAGCGAAGACAATTGCAAGGGAATCGCTCAATATGAAAACACAACGGCGTGTTCGACGAAGCCACACATCTCTGATATAGTTTCTGAGGCCAAAAAAGAACAATTGAATTTAGGATTACAACAAATTTCAAGGACTTATGGTCAGGTATGAGAGAAAGACCGCGGTCAAAACCAACCCGCTTTTTACTGGAGAGCTTGTTTTATTTGTCATGTGCTTGTGGTCACCATGAACTTCTATAACCCAACTTCTATAACAACTTCTATAACAAGGCCACCGACCCAGAATGAACACTGGCGATATGTTGCTTATAATGGGTGTCTTGATTCATGGTGACGCCATGAGGTGATCTGGGGGACCTTCGGACACCCATCTCCAGTTTATTCTTTTTTTACCTTTTTCGACACGAAGGTGCCTACTTTACGGCCAAGTGTCTATGGACATCAAATTTTGAACTAGTGAGTTAACATACAGACTATCCCACCCTGTTAATTTGAGTTTCTAGCTCTCTTAGGTGTTGACATCTCTGGGGGAGGGGGGGGGGGCGGCCTAAATGGAATCCCCACTCGAGCGAAGGACATGCAACCGCCACCCGGGCACGTATGACCCTCGCACTGTTGGGGCTCTGCCCCAGCTTAGAACTGATGAGGGGGTGGTACTATCGCCATGTTTTCGCGGGGCGGAATGAAGCAATGGGAGAGCTAAATTGTTTTTTAGATATGTTCTGCATTTCCGAACAGGTTCTTGACACGTCCCCGGTGGGCAGTTGGTAGGACACGCTCGAGTGGGGGTGGGGGTGGGGGGGGGGGGGGGATCTGACGCCCGGAGATCTCAAAGATGGAATTAGCTCGAGGCACGAGATACACACAGGTGGTAAGATGCTACGCTAAATGATTTCTGTCACGTTTTTAGATATATAAGCTGTGACTTTCGGGTCGAACACTGTCATGCTTGAAATAATATCTGGAGCGCTCTAAGCGTCACGCAACTAGCTTTAACCAGGTGTCTGTTGTGAAATTGTGAAAAAAGTGAAAGCCTATTTGTGGCCATATCTGGTCATTGACACTATCCGCCTTTAGAAGATAAAGATCACCAAAAATCTTTCAGATTATTGCTGGATAAAATCAGAGTAAATTAGCGTCAAGAGGTCCTCAAACTCCCGCTCGCATACTCCTCAAAGCGAGAGGCTGATCGAGGTCATTTTAGGTCATTGGCCTGTCCTGACATTCGTGGAGTCGGAAGCATGAAGTCGAAATCAATCGAAGCTTGATCTTGTAAAGAAATAATTTGAAATGAGCGTCTAAAATTACTACCCGAAGCCAGCTATCAGCAAAAACACCGTAGTTTTGACCTTGATGAAACCTTCATACTTGCTGCTATACCAAAGGAACTGTTGTAATTATGGTTCGAATTGTCCAGTTGTATAAGAAACCACCGTCCTGAAGCTGCATGCTTTCATATAACACTTCCTCCCGCATCAGCTTGAATGATTCCCTAAGAGTCGTCATCCACTGGCAAACGCGGCCTGACTGTGACCTGCTGTGGGTCGGTGACCACAAGAGGCGTGTGAGAATTTGCATACCAGAAGACTTGGTACTTCTTGTCAATTGTTTCTTGACTCGTGACTTATTTGTGTTCAGTTAGACAAAGTTTGGCGTCGCTACGTCGCCGTAATCGTATTTTATTCTGAAGAAGTCGAAGCGGTCAAGTTTGCCATCACCCGAACGCGCGTTGACCTGATGATGAAGTCTAGGCTTTACTACGTACTGTGACATTTCTCGTCAGGTTTTTACAACGTTATTCGGGACGTCGCCCCTGTCTTTGCAATCCGTGGACAGCTGAATAATGTGGTAAGCAACTATACTGAGATCACTCCGCAATCACAGATTGAGGGCGGTCAAGCTAAGTGCATATTAAGTTAAAAAATGCAGCGACAGCGAATTCGATGATCTATAATGGCAAAAGTCAATTGCGAATGAAGCAAAATGCAGACGAATGAATAAAGGCGAGTGAGAACAGGCAGATTACGTTGTGTAGCGCCCATTATAAAGGTCATGTGTACAAAATCAACTAATCAACAACAGTGGCCTTTGATTATACTCGTGGGTACATATCATACCTGGATAGCAGAGCCATGCTGTCAAGTCTAACACGGATTAAAATCCACCTTACGCAACTGGAAAGTATGCACTGAAAACCGCGTTAGAGGTTCGCGCAGATTATTTTATTTTCACTCGGTCACCACATCCATTTAGGTCAGTGAGCACGATTATGTCAGGGTGCAATTTGAGAATCGGGCAGTGACAACGTTGTGTAGAAGTGTTTACCGGAAAAGAGGCAGCCGCGTTGTAAGCCATTAGTAACAAACGTTATGTTTAACAATGTTTTGACACCTTTGTTCCTTGTGACTGTTTTAGTCCAGCTGAAGCGTATTTAGCTCATTGGCCTAACATAGCCTGGGACAGGATCAGCTGCCATGTCTCCAATTCATTAAATGGAAAAGGCACACTGAATTTATCAGGGGGATGGCTCGAACCGTCCTGGATCTATGCTTAGGAATGTCACGGGAGGACACATGCATTGTGAGGGTAAAGGTTGAAGGAAAGCTTGGTAGCGTTGTGTCTTGGCGACATCACCATTGCCATGTCCCCTGAAGGATTCTGCGAGCAGCTTGTCTGTCCTGTCTGTATAGAGCGTGTTGTTTGTTTCACTGTCCACATGCTCGCTATGGCGTTGCCCCGTCCCTTGCTGGACGCGTCCTACGTGTTCTTGGCAACGATGCACGGAAAACCGGCGCACAAACATCAGCTGAAGCGGGCCAGTGACGGCATTCAGGATCGGGCCCCACAGACCACCGGCACAAACATCAGCTGAAGCGGGCCAGTGACGGCCCTCAAGGTCTGGCCCCACGGACCACCGGCACAAACATCAGCTGAAGTGGGCCAGTGACGGCATTCAGGATCGGGCCCCACAGACCACCGGCACAGACATCAGCTGAAGCGTGCCAGTGACGGCCCTGAGGGTCGGGCCCCACAGACCACCCGCACAAACATCAGCTGAAGCGGGCCAGTGACGTCCCTCAGGATCGGGCCCCACAGACCACCGGCACAGACATCAGCTGAAGCGGGCCAGTGACGGCCCTCAGGGTCGGGCCCCACAGACCACCGGCACAAACATTAGCTGAAGCGGGCCAGTGACGGCATTCAGGATCGGGCCCCACAGACCACCGGCACAAACATCAGCTGACACGGGCCAGTGCCGGCCCTTATTCACCAGAAACAAATACAGAGCGCGGCCCAGGTGCATGGGTATCTTGCCAACGACTTAATGTCGCGGGGTTTTATGTTGCCAGTCTGTTTCACACAATGTTCCGGCGAGTAAGGCTGCAGGCCATAGGCCACGTCACCCCGTATCACATCACCCCGTATCACCCCGCATCATCACCCCGTATCAATGTTATTATAAACCCCACCGAATTTCTTGTCGAGCGTAGGACACGTTGAGGAGAACATCGTGGTGATCAATGCCATGCCCCGTCTGCCTAATGTAGCAGCCAGTTGTTATTCATTATAAATTGGACCGACGAAGGCGATGGCCCGTGCCGTATTCCACTGCTAGTAACCAGACCCATGTCATTTCCACCAGCTGCTAGCAGTGTCATCCACTCTGATCCGGTTGGCCTTAAGCACGTCTTATAATGCGAAGCGTCGCTTTAATTAATGATGGCATTGTGCTCTAATAACAGGCACTGGCGCTCTGGCATCCACTGGCTGGCGCCCTCCGTTTCTCATCGCTGGATTGCGCGGCGCCGGCCGTCTAGGTCGTTACCTGGTGCTGCTCGGCTGAACTGGAGGACCACCTCCGCACCCCCGGCTTCGCGTTCTTTTTGATGACACGCGGATCTCGATGCGATGGTTTTTGGGTTGGTTTAAGAGGTCACTGTTTTTACGACAATGCCGGACAAGGGTGAGAGTGTTGGCGCTGCTCAACTTCTCAAGGCTCAACAAGGGTGCTTTCTCCGTTAGTTTGGCATACAAGTACTTGATAAAAACAAACACTGTGCGCAGATGTTTGACAATTTCGGATCTTAAAACGTGTGTGAAGTTACGAAAAGGCTGTATTTCGGTCGGCCAATTTGTCGTAACGCTTTGACAATCGGGTAGTGAGTGAAACGCCCTCATTTTCTGTGACGCGAATGCGACATCAATGGAAACACTTGGTTCACGGCGAGAACGGAAAGTGGGTCAGCACTTTTTCGGGGCGTCCAAGCTCTAAACACATTTACTGCATTCTGTTCAAGAGCGGTCCGTATATAATAAGCGTGGCATTGGTGATGCTTCAAGATAGCTTTTTGACGTAATGCGTGTATGGTGCTCACGCAAAGACCTAGACCAAAGGCTAAAGATCTTCGCTCAGGCTATTCCTCGTGACATCTTGGAGCCGCCCGGCTGATTGAGCTGCATTAATTCCTTTCAGCGAGTGCCCACACTCGGTCTACTGTGTCATCAGATGATTGGGTGAACCATTCACCTCTATTTTGCTGCATGTCACCCTGTTTTCAACATCGCCTCTCGTATTTCTCAAACGACTCTTCCCTTTGAACGGGTTAATAGGCCGCAGTCATTGAGAGTGGCTCTTGTCGGAGCGATAGCCCACCGCCCGCGTTCCAACTCTCCTGTCATTATCAGGCTGATAGGCCCCGGGTAAAACGAGGCTCAGTACAAAAACTGCAATATAAAACGAGACGAGACGAGATAAAACGAGTTTTGCCCAGAATTGTTGACAGAAATTCTCAGGGACTTGCAACCAAATAAACTGAGAGAATATTTGGGTTCTCTCTGAAATAACTCATCACATTCCGTAGGGAACTGGTAAGCAAATTCTAGGATGCCTCAGCTTCCAACACACAATCGTTCGGCTCTAGATCCGGCACGTTTCCGATTGAGCTACTGGAACCCCAGAGAATTTCTCGAAAGTGGAAAAATTCACGGCGTAACATGCGCGAAAACTTTGACCCGGTGCCTCGTGAGAGTTTGGTTTCTCCAAACAAAAAATATCGATTGATCGGCTCAGGACAATTTAACAATCTTTTGTTTGGTGCCGGGCCCACTGAAACTGACCGGACAGAATTCGGTTCACAGCTCTGTGAAAAGCGGGCTTTTAACATGTGAGCCCTACGGGTAAGCAGGAAAAGTACGCCGTAGACCGGTTAGGCTACCAACATGCCTAGGTGGGAGCTGTGTTGTTCTAGCGTTCTGAAACTGGAAAAGATCCGATGAGGTGGAGCAGTGCATTCAGTTAAGTTTTTCGGCAGCATGGGCAAAATGGAATATTTGATTTGACCCGTAAGACGCAAATAAATGATTGTGTTCAAGGTGATATCGTGAACTGCCTTAGATGCGCAAAAACATTTATTTTCACCCGGCAGCTGTGGGGAACCTGAATATCTCGCCTTATTATGTGCAGCTATACCTTTCTTTATATATCCTGACGTGACAATAAGTATCTGTTTTCAAATTTGGTATCAGCTGAAACAAAACACGACTTTAGGATTTGCGGTGTTTGCCTGGCGCATAGTCTTTGCCAAGCATGTACACTTAAACAACGTGTCATGTTTGTTGTTTGGATGCGGATTGACGTGTCAGAGTGACTGTGATTCTAATTCGTGTTCCATCACATTACGGCGAAAACAACTTGAAAGCGATGTAGATCAAACTTTTGCAGTTTCTTAGCTTGTGGCTTTTCTGCAAAGACTATTCAGCACCGTATATGGAATACACGTCCAACGTCTGACGGCCCAGTGCTTGATGATGTCATTTTACGTCACCAGCGTTGAAAGGCCGTTTTCAAGAGACGCATCAAAATAACCAACTCCGAGACTGAATTACTCGAGAACCCCGCACAATGTTGACGTTCTTCTAACGGGAACGTGGCTAGCCGTAGTTGGCGATGTTTACGTACCCATTGACCCTTACAGTCATTATAGTCGCCATGCTTCCGTGAAATCACTATGCCCTCCGTGGAGGCGGGAAACATTGAAAGTGTTCTATTAGTGGCGGGGGGGGGGGGGGTCAAAGCTCCTCCCTGCTACTGTGCCGTGTTCCATTGGCGTAGTTACTGTTCGTAATTTTATGTTGTGGATAGCATAGCACAAGGAGCTCCGAACACTTGGCAGCAGAGAGTGGACTCACGCGGAAGTTTTGTAAGACCGTGACTACCTGCAGCTGTCGTCTCACATTTCGGAGAGACCAATGGGAGGTGAAACCAGCGCCGACCACCTCTGCCTTGCTTGATCAAGTTATTTACCCATTCTTCCAGCTCAATGTTTGTAGAACGAGAGACGTGATGGAGCTGTAGGCGACCGACTTTGTCCGAACTCTCCCGGGTTCAGTCATGGACGCCAATAAGGTCAGCTACACCCGTCGACCCCGCCTGCTTAGGTCGGAGACAGCGTGGAGGAGGTCGCTCTTGGAACCTGTGGTTCCGATGTCCCGGAGAGTTCGTTTCACCACCACTGTGCAGACATATGTAAAATGCCATTGAGACGTTTGGTTACCGTGTACTCCTACATTTTACCGTCGCCCAACTTTCTGTTTTTTTATTTGGAAGACGTGAACTGGGAGCCTTGATACGAACCAGACAACCCAACACAGCTCCCAACGTAGTTTCATCAACACTGGAATGGCAAGTGATCAGACCATGAATAGCGGTCACAAATTATGCCCGTTGTCCTCACATACCAGTCCAAACCGAGTGATTTCTGATTTATTACAAACTTACTATGCGGCATAGCCTTGAGAATGTCTGCATTGATTGCCTCCAAACCAATGCGCTCAAGAAATTCCTTTGTTACACAAAGAGAAACGATAACCACCAGCCTGTAACATCAGGAAACGCATCAAACCCAGTGGCATGCCACGACTTAATCCTTCAGAGCAGCGTGCTTATCGCTTCGACAACAGTGGCCGGTAGTCAATGTAAGCTTTGACTTCTTCTGTTAGACTGAGTCAGCGGGCAATCTCAATCACTTGATCCTAATGGAAGGCACGCAAAGGGTTAAACGCTTGCTTATCGGCTTAAAAAGTGGAAACCTAACTTCCTTTGTTTTCACTCAAGTGAAAAAACATTTTCTCATGTCATCTCAAGGGCTGAAAACCGTGCGGCTCATAAATTGATTTAACAATTTTGATGTGTTTAGGGTTATAAATTGCAGTGGCAAATAAGAGGATTACGTTTAAAAACGTAATCATCGTCATCAATCGTCATTCACCATCGGTGATGATGATTGTCAACGGACATACATCTGCTGCGACTTAAACCTGATTGCGAACCGCCCGCGGGAGAATAACAGCCCATTTTTACTTCACGCACTCCATACTTGGATCGATCCAAAATGACCATAAAAGCTGAATCTGAGATTCTGTAAAAGACGAGCCGACCGGGCAAATAGAGCGAGGCCAAGCAGAGCCCTTCACCGCAGAGGAAAGGTATGTTGGGAAAAGTCACAAATCGGGTAATAGGTGTCCAGCGGCAATAAACATAGCCGCGTGGTCCCTGGTTCCTGATCATTTTTGCAATTGGCCTGTGGGTACGTGACGAGGTACACCGAATGATAATCTGCGGCACTACCGTACACTCTGATGAGAATGGAAACTTCTAAGCCGTTCTTTCCCGTGACATAAGTTTTGAGACGTTTGTTAGTACGCCTCCTAGCTTTAACATGGGTTAAGACAGCCGAAGTTGGTCAAATACTCCAGCACGGGCCTATATCCCTGCACCATGCTCTGCATCCAGAAAGGGCGACTTTTATTAACGTTTGGCATAATTATCGTCCAAACTGCCACAACCCCTTTCGGACTTCGGTCCAGATACGGGTTACTTCAACGCGTCTACGCGTCTTAACGACCGGTCATCTCGATGGAAGCAGCTATTTGAGTGTGGAGCCACTGAGAAGGTGGCAACGGCTGTTTCCAATGTTCGTAGAGGCACTAGGAACCTGACCTCGGAAATGAAACTTTCTGACAAAGATTAAGGGAGCAAATGTCATTTTAGACTACTCTACCCGTGTACCGTCGTAGCCATATTTGAACTTAATTCGTTCGCAATCTTGGGCCGACGCTGTTATGTCCACGAGTTCATCGCATTATGGTTACATTCGTGTAGACTCTCAAATGCAGGTAAAAGGCGACAGCCGGGTTTTTGCAGGTCCTGGCGAGAAAAGGTTTGCTACAAACTTGTATAGAGGGATATTCAGCAGAAGTAACGGGAGTTCTATATATTATTGGTGGTTTATGTCCAGCCAATGCCCACAGGAACAACATACGATTTGCGGTTTCACAGGCCTACCACTACTTGATCATCGTTTGGCGGTCGCGCCTGCTGTTGCAGATAGGGGATGGTGTTGATCACCCGGTGCGTGTGTTTCAGAAGAGAGCTGGTGTTTTTCCGGCATTTGACGGCCTTGTGCGCTGTTCCAGAGGATGGCTGGTGTCCCCCCACATGGGATGGGTGGCAGTGCTGGGAGAGCGCGCCACCCGACACCGTGGCGACGGCCACCTGCCCCACGTACGCCTATCTGAAGACGCCCTCCTGCGACCGTACGTATGCAGTGCTCTCCAGACGGCGGGAACGCCGACTTCCGGCACGGAAGCGATTTCCTAAAGTCATTCTGGGGCATGGCATGCGTGATTTATTCCGACCCGTGTTGTAAATGGTTTGTGTCTGGGGAGAATTCTGGTGATGCATCACATTTGAAGAGCGCCAGACTTTTGCAAGTTTTGTCCGCCAGATGCTGCGATGGGGCAATTAGTTTCCCATTGTCATGCATGTTGCTCATCCTAGATGGCTGGGAATATCAGTGGTGACAACAGAGACGGGTGCCCAACTTTACATTTGTGAGCCGCCATACGACCAGTGGGGGGAGTTAGAATAGAAAAGTTAAACGATCCTTTAGCCAGTTCTTTTTTCATACATCTCTAAAGGACGTTTTCCAGAAGCCTTGTGCTTATCGAGGCAACTTTCACGAATTTCTTCACGAACGCATGTCATACAGTGCCATTATGTCCGTCACTTACCTGATACGAATAATTCCGTTAATGGAGTTACGTCACCGAAAAACGATGAACCCTGTTTTAATGCATCCCACGAAGTGTTGCGGACTTTTCACCTGCTGATCTCGTTTCAAATATGGTATGGGACAGGGTTGGCAACCGTGCTACATGCTCATATCCAAACTAAATGTATTTCGTTGTGTATGGAACTACCCAGTCAGTTATTAAAGTGAGCACTGGTACAAAAGAGCGCGTTGGCTATTGAGGTCGTTTTGCCTAAAGGGAGTAACCCGCCTTTTTGTTCTTTTACAGAACTTTTCACTTTTCACTTATTGTTACATCAGACGCATGCAAGTTGATCAGAATTACTAATTATCTCGAAATCCTTCTGAATAGCTTAGATTTCGATTTGAAGAAGCCGATCCTGCATGAGAAATATTATTCAACCTCCTGTTCACCGGTATAAAAGTAAAACATTTTATTTGCCTTAATTTTTCCAACGTCTGTGTTCTGTGATGTTTGCAACACACATGTGTCAAAATGTTCGTGTAATGAATGCTACAAAGGCTTGAAACACTGCTTAGACAAAAATGCACGTCAACATCAAGTTGTTGTCACGCGAATTCAACGAAACGTTATACTAATGGTTAGATTTCTACTGTATGGCGTTTATCACAGTGGCTATATTCGAGAAGCAAGTTGGCTTTGGAAATGGGAGTATCACATGATGCATGTGACGCAGTTCTTTAAATTTCAATCAGTGCGCTTCTGAATAACAGGCTCTTGCCCGCTGGGCCAATCACAAACTTTTTTCTTCACAACAGTAGAGGTGCGTGCGGTGCTTATCATGACGACGGTGGTCGCGACTGCAGGGAAAAGGCGTAACGTTGTTACAAAGCATTTGCAGCATAATTTGGACTAAAAATACTGGAAATCAACATCTTATTGCTGTGTTGATGGTACTGCAGTGACTCTAATTAGTGTTTTTATTAGACCAAGTAGTCCTGGGTTTTCACTAGCGTATGTTTTTAAAATATGCCCCAAAGGTAGAACACTCCCTTTAAGAGTCGACGCTACGTTTAGCTGCATTTACATGGTATTGATTTCTTATTATCTTGCGGAGACTAAGCATTTTGCGAAATCCCTCGTGCCTCCTTGCGATGCTACTGCACCAAGCCAAACTGTCTTTTGAGCCGAACGTCAGGAGCTCTGTCAGCGCCAGGCCCCGGCTGAGACGTCAGCGCCGGGCCCCAGCTGAGACGTCAGCGCCGGGCCCCGGCTGAGACCTCAGAGCCAGGCCCCGGCTGAGACCTCAGAGCCAGGCCCCGGCTGAGACCTCAGCGCCAGGCCCCGGCTGAGACCTCAGCGCCGGGCCCCGGCTGAGACCTCAGCACCGGGCCCCGGCTGAGACGTCAGCGCCGGGCCCCCGCTGAGACCTCAGCGCCAGGCCCCGGCTGAGACCTCAGCGCCGGGCCCCGGCTGAGACTTCAGCGCCGGGCCCCGGCTGAGCAGGCGCGCCGTACGCCATCGGGCGTCGCCGGCGCTGCTGAGCTGAATGACGCCTGGGCTGCAACGAGCTGCCGCCGGCCTTGTTCCGTTCAGGCTTCACACGAGCTCGTCGGCGGGCTCCGCTCGCTCTGACGCGGCCGGAAACAGGCCGACATCAAAGACAGCCGCGCGACGCCGCCGGCTGTTGCGTTCTCGACCACACCAGGCACGCAACCGCCCCCAAGGAGAGCGGGCGCTCTAGCGCACTGTGTTTAGCACGTCTCTCGGAGGTCGGTCTGCGTGTGGCGTTCATATTGCCGCGGTCTGGCCGTTGGAAAATAACAATCAGCCATCATTCGAGCAGGAGCATTGTGTCCTTAACAGCCGAAAAGGAAAGAGGAGCGTCCAATTTCCGGAGCCAACTTTGTTCGTTTTCGTTGTTTTTTCTGAAGGTCATCTCAAGGCCCCGGAGGCTACAAAAACTAAGTCTTACGGCACATTATGATGGCAAGGGCTTAACTTGCCTGGCAATCAACTTAAGGCCTGCAGCAAGTGTTTATCTAGTTACAGCATAGGTGTGTCTATATTTATATTTATATAAATATATATAGGTGTGTCTATAAAATATTTAATTCTAAAAAGATTGGAGGACTAATGGACTCCGTGTGCGATTTCGTCGCCTCTTCCACTTCTGTTAATCGTGCTGAACGCTCAGCGGTACGAGGTCCTTGACATAAAAGTGCGCTGTTAGGAAACATTGATTTTTTCTTAAATGGCACGACTGATGAAATACGCTTTAAGTGCGCTTAGCAGGGTTTGTTTTTCGTTAGATGGATGATTAAAGGGGAGAAAAATTTCGAATTCTTCGTTTAGCTCTTGGGTTCTATTTATCCTTTCAATTAAGTTTGAAAGAAAGCAGCTCGGTGATCAAAAGCCTCTTATTCATTGGATGCAAAGTGTCAGAACACCGTTCCGAAACGTTCTCATTCTTCATTAAAGCTCCTTTCACTCCGTCTGCACACCGAGCACTGTCTCGGCTCCCAACCAGGCTTTTTCCTTCTCATCAACAGACTATCGTAAATAAAGCGCCAAAACGTGGACAATGTTCCAGGCAACCAATTCCACATATTCGTGAGGAAATTCTGGTACCGTGCACTACCGTATGGTGGCTTCAAGCGTGATGCCTCAAAAGCGTGAGGGAGCAACTCGCCATGTGTTTAGTGTCAGGCATTGACAGACAAATCCACTTGTTGAAACGTGCTGCCGGACTGCGGGTAAACATTAATGTTTTCACATGAAACGTAACTGAATAATCCTCACACCCTCTAAATGTCGTCCATCACCATAGGCGGATGTGGAGGATGCTTGAAGAGGGAAACGCCACGACGAGTTGCCGTTGGTCTGGTGATGCTGACGTTATTATGTAATAGCTTTTGTCCTTTTTATTCATGTGATAGCTTTTATCCTTTGATGCAAACGGTAAAAATGCTGTAGAGCCATACCACCCATGGAAAGCCAAAGGAAATCAGCCCTTTGAATGTTAGCATTGCCGAACCCTTAACAATGCGCATGCCGTGCTCGTCATCGCTATGCTTAGTAGAAAGCAGCACGCTTAAAAAGAGTCAGTGTGCTGACCCACTTGCTTTTCCTGCGCGGCAGACTACGCGACGAAGCGGTGCGAGCAGACAGGTCACTGGTTCACCAGCATTGACCAACTCAACCGGACGCAAGAGCGGTCTGACTACACGTCGTGCAGCCAGGTCTCCACCTTGCTTAGCCGCGTCTACGTCCACGTGTCGGCCTACGCCGTGTCCATCGTGGCGCTGGTACCCGCGCTCGTCATCTTCTTCAGCTACCGGTGAGCTGTGATGCTGCCGCTGCCATCTTGATGAGCCGTGCATCATGTTTATGCTCACACTCGCTATCCTGACACCCAGCTCCTGGTGTGTGACTGGCACTTGATGTCTTCTAGACCAGCGGGCACGTACATTGGCGAAGCAAAACACAATCACTCCATCGCGGTGATCAACCATGGTTGAATAACGAAGAGTTTCCAAAACGAAATGGAACCTAAAGCCTGTAAAGCTTATCAGAACTTTGTCTTTTAATTCAATGCATCAGTGCAACAGTGAATGGCACACTGATGGACCAGCTTAGAATCAACTGGTTGCGTAATCGAGACAGGCTTTACTTAAGCGTTGTGAAATTTCGGTAGAGTTATGGAGACTATGGCTCATTTTTTGTAAGTCGTGGTGAATGCTTCCTTATAACTGTTGTCATAAGGCGACTCCCGCGCATTGTCTGCATAATATGCGTGGTCCGCCGCTCTGTGAAGGCGACCCCCTGCGTGCGGGGGAGGCGCGAACCACCTCTGTCCTCGAACGGTCCCGGTGTCCTGCCGCTCTGTGGAGGCGACCCCCTGCGTGCGGGGGAGGCGCGAACCACCTGTCCTCGAACGGTCCCGGTGTCCTGCCGCTCTGTGGAGGCGACCCCCCGCGTGCGGGGGAGGCGCGAACCACCTTTGTCCTCGAACGGTGCGGGTGTCCCGCCGCTCTGTGGAGGCGATAATTGCGTGCTAAGGTGGCCGCGTGTACCACCTCTGTTTTCGAGCGGTGCGTGTGTTCCGCAAGCCACGTGTGACTTCCCCTCTCACATCGCTATCGGCCGTCCGACGCAGCGACGTAATGAGGCCATTGGTAGCATGTTTGCCCCCGCAGTGTGACAAATTAGGTTTGGGGACGAGACCGCCAGGGAATTACAGCCACGACTCTATTTGTCGGCTCCGCCCCCTCCATGCCTGCCCGCCTGTGTTCGGTGATACGTAAATGTAAACACACCCGGCAAGCTGCAGATATGCTGACTCATCGAACAGTGTGCACAATATAATGAAGCCGGTGTTTAATCGAAATGCAACGCAGATTTCCTACAGAGGTCAACTTGAATTAGTATCCCCGACAACCCCGGTCAACATGGCATGCTTGTAGTCAAAGGGCGTGTTTCACATTGGAAGGTATTGAAGATCATCAACATGTGTATCGGATGTTATGAAATAACCTTTCTTTTACTATCGGTGTCATTTTAAGCGGAAAGGACCGCTCTAAACACCACAGTTTTTATGTTCAGTAAATGCGCTCTCAAAACGTCATTGATAACGCCCTCACGCATTGCACAACATTGAGGGCAAATTGGCGTCCGTTATATCTGGAAATCGTGCTCACGAGCGCCAGGTGTGAACGATCCGACAGGTATATTTTCTTCGCCTTCATTGCCCAATAGCTAACGGAATGGCAGGATTTTGATGGCGTTATTATGGTGGCATGTATGTGTGAGTGGCCTTGATATAAGTTCCCCGAAATAGTCTGCACACCTTCGCTAGCGCGAAGGTCGGAAACTTGAGGGGTTTTGGTCTTAAGAAGGGCAGTGCCGTTAATCGTATCGAATGTTTTGCAAGATGGCTATTTCAGTTGAAAAGCCCATACAAATCTGGAACACTTCCTTTAAGCGGCGCCTTCCACGGGGTCACCGGCATAATAAAGTGGTGCCCCATGCGAGGTTTCCAGCTTGGTGAAGTGGCACCCTCCATGTGGTCACGGCATGGTTAACTAGCGCCCTCCGCGTGTTTACCAGCGTGGCGAGGTGGCGCCCTCCGCGGGGTCACCGACTTCAGTGTGATACATCGGTGGCAGAAGTGAGACAAAGGTTTCATTTTCCGCCCTGATTTCCCATTGCTTGAGTGCGTCAGGGAAAAATGGTTGCACCGTAGAGCTGCCGCTGTCATCCATCTTGGTGCATTTGGAGAAGGATTTCAACATTCCAGCTGATCAAGTTTTGTATTAGATCTCAGCATTCTTTGTCCGGGGTTATCTTATATCTTCGCTAGATTTACCCCGCCAGCCCAGTCCCAGCCTCCCGTCAGGTGCAGATAATCTCAGTTGTTTCTCGTTGGCAGCCGATCATGTTATCCAATCAACACGATCAGTTAAAATGTCCTGACAGTTTTCCGTCGTCTCCGAAGCGTAGTCCCAGCGTGGCCTAACCCCAGCACGAGATGGGGTCCATCTCGCCGCGAGTTTCTCCCAGCGTGGGTTTATGCCATCGTCGATAAGTTCCGGTTCGGGTTCGTTGCCGCATGATCCTTCCCAGCGTGCATAGCCTCAGCGTGGGTAGCTTCAGGGCGCTGCAGTGGTAGGCGTCGGGCCGGGACGTCATGCCATTTTATAGCCCGTCACGGCCCGGTCGCTCCCCGGCGTGCCTTCTCTTATCGGCTCAGCCAGCGGCACGTAAGCGCACGACGTCAGGCTCGCCTCGGTGAGATCGGGTGTGCGGCGTCGCCCACGAGACTCCCCGAAGCTCGGTATGCCGTTTGATATCGGACAGATCGGTGACCCTGCGATGTCCACTCTCGCGCCTGTCCGCGTGTTGTTCATAAGCGCTGGACGCGGCAGGTTTCCCTGTAGACTAACGCCTGTTATAGCGATGGATGACAAGTGCAGATCATTGCATAGATAACAGATTTCGCGAGTGCCGAGCCAGGCGAATGTCCGCAGAGAAATGCATCATGGTTTTATGCACAGTGGTACGGATCTATGCACTGCGTCTCTAAGCATGGGGACAGCATCAGCCGGCGTTAGCGCGCATGGAGCCTGATCAAGCTTGCCTGTGCAGACGACGTTGGGCACGATTTGGCATTGTTTTACGGATTGCTCTTTTCGATACTCCGCTGTCGTGCGATTATGTCCGATTCCGGCCAATCCACAAGGGAATCTCCCACATTTGAAGATACCAAAGCCAGAATCCGATATGATAAAATAACTCACTTATAACTATTGGTATACTTTCGAATGCGAATGGCTGTTCTAGACAACACAAGTTCTCTGCTTAGCAAACATGCTCCTCGACATGTCTTTTTATCACGTCTTCGTACCTCGCATATTGTTGATCAAGAACCAATCGGGTGTCGTTAAATCTGGAAATGGTGTTGACAAATGCCAGATATGAACGACTGGATAACTATATTTTGGGGGGCTTCATGCCCGCATGGCCAATGAAATGACAGAATTTTAACATCATGACGTCGGTTTGGAGTTTGGGTGACACTGAAATAATTTCGCCGAAATAGTCTGCACATCACCGTGGGTGTGTAGTTCAGAAACTAGAACGTTTAGGTCTTTCATATGTCAGTGCTGTCGACTGCACCGAATGACCTTCAAGATGTCGATTTCAGTTCAAACCCCCATACAAACATGAAACATTCCACTCAATGCATCACTTCGTCGCTGAGTAGATCGACACCCAATATCTATCGCTGAGTGCAATGAAATCCGATAACATGAGAACGGTCGTCGCAAACACCAACTGTGACCGGCTGTGGTTTGCGCTTGAGCTTCCTTCAGGTTGGTAACCTAACGTCCCCAGCATGTTAAACAGCTTCCTTACAAGTAAACTTCCTTACGATCCTCGGACAAGTGTCAGATTTATTGTGGCGCTCTGCCGGAATTTGACGGTCGTTCCTACATGCACGAACAAAAACGGGAACAAATGCACGTCTCGTACCGAATCTGCGTTTGGTACATTTGGGTCATTCTAACGCTATCACGATGAAATAAAATTACATTTACGCATGTCAAAGATTTACCAACTAACTGCATTTTGATATTACTCCTTGCACCCAGCATGAATATAAATGGTGATGGGTAATAAGTAAATGTGTTACGTTACGCTCCTTCATGGCACGCGACTCCAAACATCACATGTTGCACGGTGCAATCAGACTAGACAACATGCCCAGTGTGCACCTGCCTTCGCCTGCAGACGTCGCCAGCTGTGCCGCCGGCTCCTCGTCACTGGATCACACACGTCACACACTCGTCACTCGTCACCACACACTCCTCGTCAATCGACTGCGTTGTTGACTGCTCCAACTTTTGGCGACTGTCTGCCGACTTCAGCTCGGGAGCGTTTTTTCACCGGTACTCCCAGTCTGGTGGAAAGTGATGACATCTTCATTTGTTGTGTAAAGGGAGTGTTCCACATTTGTATGGGTTTTGAATCGAACTTGACATATTGAAGATCATTTGGTGCTGTTCACAGTCCTACCCTTCTTAAGATCGAACCTCCCCTAGTTTCTGGGCTACACGCCCGCAAATTTGTGCACACATTATCGTGCAGATTATTCCAATGTCACCCAGACATCTGTGACGTCATCATTGCGTCCTTTATATCATGCCATTCCATTGGCCGTGCGGCGATCGCGGCGAACAAATGTATAATTGTCGGGTCGTTCATATCTGACCTTCGTAAGCACAATTCCCGATACAACGGCCATAAATTGGCTCTCAATCAACGGTGTGCAAGGTACGATGACGCAATCAAACAATGACGTTCTGAGGAGCATTTTAACTAAAAAGGAAATTGTGCTGTTTAGAGTAATCTTCTTTTCTTAAAAGTATACCAGTAAGTGAGCTGATTTCATCATATCTCATGCTTGGCTCAACATCTTCAAATGTGGACACATTCCCTTTAAAATTTAAAGAGCTCCCTTCGCAACATGATCCAAAGATTGTAATCTCCCACGACTGAAGCGCCATCGTGATGAAGTATAGATGGGCAAAAACGGAAAAGACGTTGCAACGTCTCAGAAAGCGTGGCGAACTTACAGAACAGAAGGGAAGGGGCTTGAAGCTCATTCATTCCATGCATCGCCATGAGGTTCATGTAAGACATTCTCAAAAACTGGGGCCAGAAAACCATGATAACCCTGCCCCCCCCCCCGCCCCCCCCCCCCCCCATCCATTAACCCCAGTTCCTACGCTGGTACATCGATCAATACGACGCGCATGTGAAGCGTAACTTGGCATGCACAGCATACTTTAAAGTACATGGCAAAAATCTTAAACTCGCGTCGTGCTTCTGAAGCGACGACGTTCAGTAATACGGTTCACTAATACGGCAGCATAAGTCTGTGCTGCCTCGGTCGCCCGAATCCTCCCTGTCGACAGAGGTCTCGTCGCGACGTCCAGCCATCTGACACCCGCCACTCCCGTGTAAGATAATACGGCAGCCATGGCGCCCAGTTGACCGCGAGTCGGCGAGACGACCGCTACACGATAGGCGAGGACGTCTATTGAATTGGCGCAAATGTGGACAATTAGAAAGGTCTTGTTACAATGTCTAATAAGAAAAACCTTGCCTTACAAGCTGTACGGTTATCACTGGGCCCCTTTTACATGCAACACGACACCCATAGATTGTTAACTGAAGACTTAAAGCCTGTTTTATACAATTTGTATTGTGGTGCCTTCTCTTAGCAGGTTTGCTTCGATATCCCATGATGTACTCGTTTTTAATATTACTATAGCTGAACCGAGACCTGCAGTTAACGTAACCTGGCGTAGGTGTCGCTGTTTCAGGGCCGTTATGAACCGTCAGGGAATCTGTGGACTTCGAAAGTATACTGCAACATTATGATACTGTTGAAGAGAAAACAAGCAGCACTATGGAATGCGCCGTTAATTTTATGAGAAGTCCATGTTGAGGAATTGAAAAACACAAGTGTGACTGACTTCAGTGTGCTTTTCGGCATAATCTTGTCATTGTTCATCGGCAGAGAACGTCTGTCGCTTTGTATTTTTACAGGCGCGGACGGCGGTTGAGGCAGGGTTTGGCTTTCCTTCCGTGGTCTGCCCGACAAAGCGACGCCACCATAAATCACGTCCGCAACAGAAAAGAGCTTTCAGCGTGGTGACCGCTCACGCCTCCGTTTCCGTTCAGATTGTAACGCTGTTCTGTGTGTGATATTTGCCGTTGATGTATTATGGTGGTTGGATATTGTGTACTTGATGTGGACGAATCTCTGTGTTTGAGCGTTTCCTTGCTCGGCATGAAGTCCATAAATCTGTGTCGTAAGCCAATGGTCGCTGACTCTCGGGGAGGCGATGGTTAGCTTGATGTGCTTTGTTCTCGTTCGGGATGCGCAAGGAAAAGAATCCGTTATGTTTCCAAGAATATTTGACAGTGTCCTGACAGGCATCCGTGGATGATTTTCCAAATTGGCACCGCGATATCGAGTCGCTTGATAATTTGAAGTACCGGTATATTATTAAGGATGCCTGACTTCGGTCCAATCTCTACAATCAGTAATATGTAGCCAGCTTCTCAAAACAGGGAGCGGAAGATTTACGTCGTAATCACACCAATTTGATGTATAGTTGTACAATATAATTTATCAATGGGAAGGTACACAACTCATAATTTCACACTACACTTTACGTCAAACATGTACGCAAACAATCTTTCTCCAGGCGCTCAAAGGCAATTCAATGCTCTGAATTCAAACCAATATACGACAGGAAATATCTTTGGTGAAACCTCAGTGAATTTTTCAACGCAATCAACGAAAACATCTGTGTCGCGAATTATGGTCGTTACCTCATACGGTAGTTATTGAAGAACAAACTGTTGAAGTAGGAAGTGTAAACACCGTGCAACAGCTGCAAAATGCGCCAAAGTTATATAGCATTTCGCCCCTAAGGGTGAGCAGAGAAAAGTGACTGGTCCATTCTTTCAGACATGAAGTCTTGCTTGGGGTATGCTAAGACCAATGGGTGTGCCAACGCTGCCTTATCAATCATCTTTCTTTGCGAGAATGTTAAACTTACATTTCACTTCAAAGAATTTGTGTGGCTATTAAAGCACGTGTCATTTGGCATGCTGAGTTCAGACAAGACGCATCCCAGAGACACCTTCAAAGTGAAACATGGACGTTGCTATTACATGCCTACCCTGGGCAAAAGCAGAATGGTGCGCAGTAAACGCTAATAAGTAGCAACAATATAATATAATATAACGAATATACAATATATATATATGTATATATATATTATATATGTATATATAATAACAAATGGTCGTGCTCTAAAATTTCCCTCAACTGGATAACACATCTAACCACAACTTTCGCACCACCAGGCAGCAGTCTGCCTACATAAAGATCAAACAGGAGAAACCCGTTTCCAATGACGAGTTCGTCAGTGTGCTTATAGCACTGCATAAATTATGTGCGGACGGCGTGTCGTCTTCACTCCTTTTAGTTTTCGTAAGCACTCGACCGTTTTCTCAATTGTTTTCACATCCTGACGAGCGCTCTTTATCAAAGGATCATAACTGTAGCTGAAATGAGATATCTTAAAAATCTTAGCTTGATATAGCTGCTCTAGTTTTAAAGCATACAAGTGAAAGAGTTGACAATAGTTTTTATCGGAATCGTTGGTAAGCCAGCTTCCAACAGTATTACATTCTGGAAGCTTAAAACGCATGTTTATGTACCTTTATTGTATAGATTGATGGTGGATGCCATGCCAACTGGACGCCCAAATCTATATAACAGTAAAAGACACAAACTGCGACAGCCGTCACATGACAGCTGTGAGAAACTGGCTTAATGTGTACCTAGCTTGTAGAATCGAAAGTGTTCCTGACTGTCTGGTGCTAGTTTGTACTTTTGCTTTGAGAAACCGGCTAATACAGGCTAATGATAAGCGTAAGCCGCATAAAAAATAGTTCCAGCTCGCACGTTCAATCATCTGTAGTTCACGTGATATGCATACATACAATGAAAATGGCAGCTAACGTCTAACTCCGTGCATGGTTACAGACAGCTGAAGGTGCACCGAGTCAGTATACACAAAAACTTCTTCGTGTCACTGCTACTCAACTCTGTGATGGTCATCGTCTTCAAATGTGTCGTCATGCTGGATGAACTCAGTCAGAGCGGCAGCCCATCCATACTCGAGAAGGTAAGCATCTCATGCCGCGTGCGTGTGTTTGTCATGCCCACGGATGCGCGTCGGAGCAAACCATTTAAAGGCGTATCAGGCATCTGTGGGCACGGTGTTCGGTGCGTAGAAACCTCGCCTCACGGCATCACTGCTGAAAATATTGAGAAATAGTGCGCATTTGTGAAGAATACTAAGAACCAAAATGTCCCACAGTTGTGACAAAGAGGTTACGCTCTTCCTCGTGCCATCTCCCGCTACCTCAAGATCCATGCGGATTTAGCCGCCACGCCAAGTCTTTCGAAAACAAATTAAATTGTTGCGTGTGCACGACATCCTGTGCATAAATGACGAAATTTGGTCATGATCATCAATATCGTTTGCAAAAAATTACCTTTTGCAAACAGAGGCATGTGGCAGGTGAACCAAGCAATTGGTCACTGGATGCCATGTGGGCTAGGGCGCACCGCGTTGTAGGTTTAGTTTATACACCGTCATTTAATAAGCGGCACTCGGCAGTTGTTGGCGCCGGTCTGCGTCCTGGGGAGAGGAAAGGTCAGTTGCAAAGACGTATTCGAGCCAGCCTGGCGGGACCAGGCCAAAGGTGGTGAAGCAACTGAACGTTTTCCCACTTTGGGCTTGCTCAACGGAGCACCGTTTCTGACTTTTGAACTTGATTCCATCCAACATTGAATGCTGCATCCGCCCCTGAGTGGCCGGCGAGCCTTCCGCGAAACGCTAGCGGCAGCGAGAGAGAGGTATGCACGACTTGGCTCATGTTACACTCGAACATAATGAACGTTCAAGAGGGCAGAACGCTTCTTTTATGTAGAGCTCCTCGTTATGATGACTTGACATTATGGCCAATAAACCCTTTAAGTGTATAACACCAGATGCAAGCGCGACCAACTGTAGACTTAAAGGCGAGATGAAAAAGAAAGAGGAATGCAAATAGGTCGGACCGAAAGTTGTGGATTTGCTGATCTCCAAGTGGAGAGCAAGTCCTCGCACTGACGAGGGGAGGGGGGGAGGAGATAGTTCTTCTCGTGCCGGTTTGTAGAATAGCACCGTAGGGAATAAAATAATTGTTGGGCTTATCCTCGGCGTCGGGTATGTAAGTATGCATGCAACGTTTGGACAGTTAGTTTTCCGGCCGTCGACGACAATGGCATACTAACACACCAGATGAGGACGCCAGCGTGGTTTGAGTTACCTTCCCGACGCTTTCAAAGGTGTTTGCAAAATTTTGAGACTCATGGCCAAGAAAGCTCTTCAAAACCTATGTAGTTGTGCGATGAGCTTCATCAGTTTTAGATGGGCCTTGCCGGAACAAAGAGTTCATGAAAACATTTATGAAGAAAACATATATTCTGATCCTTTTGAATTGACGGATTTCTGTTATCAGAGTTCACGCTGAGCAGTGCTCGTCGTCTGAGTCCTGTCCCTTACCGTGCAATCGTGAGGTTTTAGGTCAACGGCATATCATTATGGGGGCACTTTAGCGTGCCGCAATGCTCTGTGCTCTCCGTATTGCCCTCTGACGTCACTTGGCCTTTAGTGCGACGCTGTCACCGGCCCCAAACTATTCAAATCAAAAGGCGAGTAGTGAGCGCCTAGAGCGACTCGAACCCACTCCGCTGTAGGTGGTTAAATTGGAAAGCAGGCGCTCTTGATAACTGAGCTATTGGGACGGGTTTTGGATAGGTATGAACGTTCATTCGGTTGCCCTTTGGTCTGGCTAACGTCTTAATCTAACGTTATCAGTAACTTATCTCCTAATTACACTATCCATATCAACATAGGTCACAAACCCTGTACTTCAAGTTTTCAGTTGCATGATTTCCAGTTGCATAAGTTGACTATTTTGGCTTTTTTAGACTCGACCGTTCCTCTACCCGCGGTTTTCATGTGCCACAAATGGTCATCATATTCTGTTGTCCCCAGGTGGCCTAAACCCCGTATTTGTGTTTGCATTAATCAGCAGCACGATTTGCCGGCTTTCATTCATCTGTGATCTTATGGCGTTGTTTTCTCATATGTTTGTGATTTCTCACGAAATATAGTCATTTCACTGACTTCTGCTGACCTCCGAAGCGCGAAGCTGGCTTAGCAACGAGTTGACCTAGGGTCCACACCGGCATTGTGTGCTTTTGGTTTGAACACAATATTATGGCTTAAAAAGTCCCTCAGTTGCCGATAGAACTGAAATACACTAATCATAAGGCTTTGTGTGTGGGTAAATTGGGCACAACCTGAAAAGGAAAAAACGTCACATGATCCAGATCGCCTTGCTTTACCCTAAATAAGCACCTGATTTTAGCGAAGGCTGCTTACACTCACATCACCCACATAACAGCGTTTCATTTGTCTCTTAAGCTTTATTGTGTCCCGATGTAACAAGAGCGGCATGTCCCTGTCCCCCACCCCCTCATCACTTGCAGCTGGCACGAAGTCCCGTCAGTGCATGGTATCAGGGCGTGTTATGGGACTGTTTATTGGAGCAAGGAAACAGGACCGATAGGGGTTAAGGGAAGTGTGTCTAGTCTTTTCGGTGCTCCAAAAATGCGTCCCTGTAGGTATTTGGATCAAGCCATTACTAATGACAGCACTGTTACGTGCATATGAACCTTCTAACCATCACTGTTCAATACAGTTATTTTTTATCCTTAGTAGCCTAGATCGTATGTGCCGTACGGGTGTGAACACAACGGTTTTAGGGACGGAAAGTGACATCAGCTAGCGGGACTTAAAAATGACTAGTCCGTGTGACAAGCGAGTGTGCGTTCGAGATGAAGTTAAAAATCACAGAAAACCATGATTTCATAGATTCCATAGGCCGTTGATCATAGGCCACTACCCATTATGGGAAGTGTCTCCAGTTCTCTGCGTAAAACTTGCCCGCGATGTAAGCAAAAATGCGTTGAGGTCCTGGGTTGAAGACTCGCCATGCTGAGAGTAAAATCGGTATAAAAATATTGAAAGATTACGGCTCGATATTTCCGCGATCTGGCCAATACTGAGATATATTGGCATCTGTTGTTATGTTGACGATTAAAGAACAATTATGAGGTCTTTTGGGGCGCCACTGGCATGGATTGGAGGCACGATTTAGCCATTGTGGAATGTGCCTGTGAAACAACTATATATGCACTAGTGAGGGCCTGATGGCATGGCATGATGGTATGATGTATGGAAGGCGTAGTATACTTTGCTTAATTGCCTACGCGTGGGATCTGATAAAATGCTCTATGCTAATCTCCGCCCCTTTTGCATGTTGTTTTACTTTTTATTTTTGCCGCCCTCTGCAGGTAAAAAACTGAGAATGTGCAGCTAAGATGACTAAAAATGGTGTGAATTGCGAAAGTTATGCTACAAGTGATAAGTTCAAAACGCTACAAGATCACATCCTTACCACCACATAATGCATATATGAATGGTCAGCTGATCTAAATGTGACGCGCATATAATGCTGCTCTAACCCCGCCATTAAAAAGGGTCAATGCGACCACCACCCCACTCCAGAGTTTCGGGGATACCTTTCCGGTACGTCATGCAATCGCGCCAAAAAATTTAGTAGTCTCTGGGGCGTTCATTGCGCGTATTTTGACAGCAAAGCGTGTCCGTAGCCTTTACGACTTCGGAGCAGCGGCGGTTGTTTATGGTCGCTGCGCGGCGATCTACAGTCGGCGCCGGCGGCAGGGCGGCAACTGAGGGTTCCGTGGACAGCCCGCGGCAGGCGGACATTGCCGCATTCACGTGGAGATGCATCATAAATATGTGCTCAAAACACAAACAACCTTACACCATTATATTTAGAATGTAATAAGAAACACGCTTGTTTAAGCTTTGTGTCGCTACGAAGTATGATCTGGTCCATATGTAAAGCTGACAAGTGCATATAAAGCGGATAAAATTCTATTTTCTGCGAAATGTGACGTTTGATCTCGCGTATTAGGGCCAATTGTTAACCTAGGAACGTGCATCGGGCTTAAGGGGTATTTAGGGCTAAATGGTTAGATTTTATTATTATTAGATTTATTTATTATTTATTATTATTATTATATATTATTTATTATTATTATAGATTTTATTATTGTTAGGTTTTATTCTGGTGGTTAGATTTAACCTAATAATTTTGGATTTAGCTCAGTTCTTAAACTTTAAAGGATTGTTAAAATTTTTATGCGGTTTTGGACTGAAATAACCATATTGAAGGCCTTTTCGATTCTTCTCACAATTCTTGTCTTCTGAAGACCCAAGCCCCTCTAGTTTCTGAGCCACACGCCCGCGAAAATGGCGAAAGGCATATCGGGGAGAGAACCTCAAAGTTACCGAGGCATTCATCACGTCATAATAACGCCATTCAGTTCTTGCCACTCTGTAAGCCATGCGGCGATCAAGGCTAAGAAAAATACAATTGTCGAGGCGTTCATATGTGGCGTTTGTGAGCGTGATTTCCAGATACAACGAACTCCAATTGGCTCTCAATCGAAGTGTAAGGTGCGACGACCTAATGAAACCGAGACGCGTCGAGGAGCATGTTCATTAAACAGATAATTGTGGTGTCTAGAGCAACCTTTTCCACTTACAAAGCATACCACTAGTTATAAGTGAGCTTGTTTCATCCTATCTAATGCTTGCTTGAATATCTTCAGCTGTAAAACATTTCCTGTAAGAAAGCGAAAATACTGGCTACAACCGGCGGTGAATAATTGTGAATGAACATATTTTTTGCTTCCGGTATGCAAGGTGTTCTCTGCAAGATGCTTTAAGCCTACATCGGTTTGCCTGTCTTTTAAATCATACCTGTTCATTTAACATGCCTCCAGGTACTCGGTCTCATATCCTTCGCTCGGGGGCCAGTTGGACAACTGATGTTTCAAAAACTGAGATAAACCAGATACACCAAATTAACATGGTGGGTTGGCCTGTACGTGATCTCACTTGTCTTGGAAGTCAATGTTTCTCGTTCATGACTTTGGGGTCAAAGAACAGGTTAAACGAAGTCAAACCCCACATTG